AGCGGAGTTAAGAATTTGGGAATTGATGAATAAAGAATGGATTTGGTAAAGCTAGTTTTTTTTACTTGGGTTTTGGGTTTGTTAGCGGTTATGGGTTTGGATATATAAATGGACCCGAATTCTTATGTTAATTGAATTGCGGATATCCGTATCCGCAACCGTATTTTACACTCATATCCTTATCTGGATCCGTATTCGAAAACAAAAACTAAAATCAGATCCACATCCAAAACCGTATCCGCCAGGTTATAAAAATAGCTTACCATATCTGCATCCTTTCGGATACGGATGCGGATCAACTCGGATAAAACCGAACCATTTGGCACCGAAAAATTCCTTAATGACCCAAAATATGGGACCAACAGGGGGACATGTGAGGTGTCCCCCTCCTATTGCATAATAAGCTAGGCTAATTATGCAATAGAATGAGGACACCTCACATGTGCCCCTGTTGGTCCTATATTTTGGGTCCTGTAGCAAAGCTCTTTGGCACCTCTACTCACAAGTCACAACTGCAGAACAAAGACAAATGTAGAGCAGAAAAAGGGCCCAGTTTTATTGACACTTGGTGGTTATCTAGTTATTTGAGGGGAAAGGAGAGCTTTAATGACCATGATGGTTCTGGGTGGAGCAGCACTTGATCAAATGAAGGAGAAGATGGCTCAAGATCTTTATTTCTTTCCAAAGGTTTGATTCACTCTTCGAGTTGTTATTTTTTTCTTTCCGTAGTGAACTGGTGTTCTTCTTGAGTTCAATTGTTCATATGGCAATGTGGGTTGTCCTCACCTCACATCATCTCAAATGATTCTCATTTTTTTTCTCATTTTTTTCAATTTAGTGAATTGAGTAAAAACCCACTGTTCCTTAGCCTTGTTTTGTATAAATGTTGTCTATTTTACATGACTGTTAGCTTATTTGGGTAGCATGATGATCATGTGGTTTTTCCAATTCAAAGAAACCCAAGGAGATTTTTACTTCTTTATCTTGAAATCCATATGGGTAGCAAGCAAGATTCTTGATCAATTTGATGAAATTGAAGAAAGATACCCAAATGTTGTCTTCTTTGGTCTTACTGAACTAGAGGAATTTCAGTTAATTTATACAAGGCTAGATCTTGCCAAATATTTGAGGTATTTCAACAATTATGGTCTATGATATCATTTGCCTTTTCCAACACACACGTTAAATAATAATGGCAATAATAATGGCATAATGGGCTTTTTCCTTTTTGATGCATGACAAATTTCTTTACATAAAAGTTAAAGGGACAATCATTCTGGGGAATTAATTAATAACAAAAAGGAGACCATTATGTTGCTTTAAATTGATTAATCTATTTTTCGACAACTTAGCTTATCTATTTTCTCCAAATCAAAAAAGTTAAAGGGAATCACCAATTTCTTTTTAGTCATAGAACAATCATTATGGAGAATTAATTAATAACAAAAAAGAGATAATTATGTTGCTATCAATTGATTAATCTAGCTCTCAACAACTTATTTATTTTCTCCAAATCATTTCTTTCACAGGCCGCAGTCATTATAAAGCTACCAAGAAAATCCCCACTCATGATGAGGATGATTATGTTAGCGACTATAATGATGTGCAGTATTTACATATCCTCTGTTTGTTTGAAACATACTACAGCCCAGCTCAATACACAGTCAACGAGGGTAAAAGCAATAGGAACACATTCTCGTGATTATGAACTTGTTGGCTTGAAGAAAATATGGATCCATAACAAGACAGAAGTAGTGAATAAAAAGCCAATAGAAGAACATTCTTATGATTCTAAAATTGTTATTATGAAGCAAACAGAGACCCAAGTGATGACTGAGCCAAAAATTCTGAGAAAACCAGTAGATGAACATCATTATGATCCTAGAGTTGCTGGTTTGAAGCAATCAAAGATTCAACTGAAGCAAGAACATAAGACAAAATTACCTATATATCAACATAATTATGATCTTAGAACTGTTGGTTTTAACCAAACTGAGGTCGAAATCAAGGCGAAATTGGTGACAAACAATCTAACACAACCACGTTGTCCAGCTACCGGAATCCCACAATCAGAGGTTGCTTTTATCCACTATCCAGTGCCCACAAACTATAGCAGGTAACTGAGATTATTCAAAATTTAGGGTAAATTTCTCAAATCTCCAAGAATTTTGGCTCATTTTGGGATAACCCCCAAAAAGTTTGGAAATATCATTTAACCCCCAAAACTTTGCATTTATCTAATTCTATTTCCAGATAACCCCAACTTTTTGGCGGTTATCTGAGTACGTTTTGGGGGTTAACTGTTGTTTCCAAACTTTTTCGTGTTATCTCAAAATGGACACCTTTAGTGGGTTCTGTGAAACTTATCCGATAATTTATTAGTGTTTTTTTCATGATTTTTTGTTCGGTTCTTGTATGAGCTTAATAACTCTTAATTTTTCAGGAGAGAATGTGAGTGTACTCCGGTGAGGTTTTATGTTATTATCTCCATGCAAAGGTCTGGGTCCAAGTGGTTGGAAAGTTTGCTGAATAGCCATGTTAATGTTAGCTCGAATGGGGAGATATTTATTGACAGAGAGAGGAGTAGTAATGTGTCAGCCATCACAAGGACATTGGACAAAGTTTATAATCTTGATATGAGAAATAGTGCTAATAAGAAAGGATGCACATCTGCTGTGGGTTTCAAATGGATGCTCAATCAGGTAAAACTGAAATTACATTTTTTTTAATGTTCATTTTGTTAAGCAACATAGAGGCTATAATATGTTTTGGAATTATATATGGTTATTCAATTGAATTTCCTCATGTTTGAAAGAGGTGACTAACACAATATGACCCGCTCCCTTAGTAGCTGTCCCATCTTATTTAGCGACGACATATACGCGATTGTGCCTTGTCACTGCATGATTTTCTATAAGCATATAAACAATTTTCTTCATGATTGGACAAACAAGCTTATTGACATTCATAAGCATAAGCTATAAATGCAATTATCTCAGACATGTTGCCCAAGGTTAACTATTACTCTAATGAGAATGCAAAATCTTGCTTAGGGTTAGTAGTGAGGTGATCAAGTGGAAACTTCTCGCCTCTAAGGTACGTTAGTCTTCAACGTGTTGCCAAGGAGATTTCAATTACTTGGCATTTCAAGAAATTACGATATACATAAGGCATATATGACACTTATTCCAATTCGTAGATCTCATGCATAGGATTATTTTTCTTCCACTGTGTTAGTTTCGAAGAACCAGATGATACTCCATAGATTTTTACTAACTCGTTTATACATGTTCTACAAATAGTATGCGTGAAATGTCTTTCTGGTTGTATTTAAGGGTAAATTTCTGATGGATCCCCTTACATTCCTGAGTGAAATTTTATTCTCTTTTACCTTCAAAGAAAAAAAAGAAAAGAAAAGTATATATATATATTTTGGATAAATAGACCTTCTGAGTGTAAAAGAGTAAAAAAAAAACCACTCTTGGGGCATATCTGCAACAATAGAAATAGAGGTGGTCTATCCGCAATTGGGCAATAGCATAGGGGGTCTGTCTGCAATTAACCATATATTTAAGTCATCAAATGCAATTTATGAAGTCATCTTCTATTTGTTGCAGCGTATAATGGTTTACCGTGAAGAAGTTTCCAACTACTTCAAACAAAGAGGAGTCTCTGTTATATTCTTATTTAGAAGAAACCTGTTGCGTCGTATAATTTCACTGATAGCGAATTCCCAGGATCATAAACGACTAAATGGAACTCATAAAGCTCACGTGAATACGCAACATGAGGTAAAACTTCTTGTTACCTAATCGCTGGATTGCAAAGTATTTTAGTGTTATCTACTTAAGGTAAGTTACTTAGACTATGACAAATAATTTATAGGCAGAAATGCTAGCAAGTTACAAGCCAAAGCTTAATGCTAAGTCATTGGCATCTAAACTGATGCATGCTACTTCGAGGGCTACTGAAGCTATAGAGCATTTCAAGAGCATCCGCCACATGGTTCTTTACTATGAAGATCTCGTTCAGAATAACACTGTGAGTTCACTTCTTTTGCACTCTTTTCTTTTCTGTGGGGAATGATTTCTCTATTGGAGAATTTTTTTTGTGAAAGAATAGAAAGACACAGGGCAGCTGTTAGCATTAGAGGGATATATACTTGCCTTCTTCCAACCGCTGTTCACAGTTGCGTTACTCACATAATATGTTACTCGCAATGTGTTCCATTATTGTTGCCAGAAAGTAAAAAAGATTTAAGGATAAAAAATCATTTTCGCTCGCACATAATTTCTGTTTGATTTTAGATTGCTCAAATTGAACAATCATGTTTTAGTTGTGTTGGATTGTCTTGAATCCAAAATCAGATATCTGACCAAACTTCTGGCAGACTTTTGATAGCTTCTGATCACAATTGTGTTAGATTTATTTGGGACAAACTTCTGACTTGACCAATATCAGACGTATTTAAGAAAAATTAAAGACATCTTTGAATCATTTCCGAGAAACACGCGAGAGTTGGGACTTCTTGCAGTTACATACATGTTTGAGGTGACGAATTCTGTTACATTTTTTTAAGGTTGCTTTTCAGGAGAACTTTTCGGAACTAAAGCTAGAAAAAAGATGACTTCTTCATCTTTTTTAAATTCTATAACAATCTGTGAGATTTGGTTTTAGGAACAAACAAAGAGGGAAATCAAGGTCTGTCAATTTCCAACAATCTCTTCTGAAAGATCTGTCAACTTACAATGGTCCCTTTTGATAGCATCTGTCTCTCCTCTCATTCTTTTCCGTTTCCCTAAGTAGTCAAAAGATTATATGCTGCTGCTCGCAGACGCTGGACTTGCTCCTAACGTCCTTAAATTTGTGTTTTTGTGATTGTTACCCATCTGTACTTTGATATCGGTATCTGTCTATTTGTGCTTTCGTAATAATTATGAAGTAATTAATCCATAATTGAATTCAAATTTGAAATTATACAATCCTCATTTACAACTTGAAGCTGTTCCAAGTTGCACACATTTACAATAATCTGACATGGAACTCGCATTGTTGACTATGTATCAACA